ATTCGGATTTTCATAAAAAATTTTCAAATAGTACCTTTGATAATTTCAAGATATGTAACTTGGTTCTCAAACGATCCATAATTAGGTAATTATAATGTTACAAAAATGCTGCTGGAACTCTTTGATTCTATAATTTTTAATTTTATAAGAACAATACATATGACCAGGTCTTACCATAATAAGAGACATCTCAAAATCGCCATTGTTCCAAAGTCTGATAGTGCAAAATCGTTATACCAGTAAAGACTGGTATTAAAAACTTGATTCATCTGTGTACTAACTATTTTGAATATCAGAAACCTGTTCTACATCTTGATTATCAAATTGTTAAGGAACAATAATAATATATTATATGGATAAATTTGTAAATTACAAATCAAATTTCTATTTTTGAACTAGACTATTATTTCTGTTTTAGATCAAATTGTTATTGAAAAAGAATGAGTTTTTAAAAATTTTGGGTTGGTGTTAATATCTAGTTTAGCATTACTGCATTACTTATTAGCATAATCAGATCATTATACATACACATTATGACAACCACTGCATCTATTACACCCATTATAGCCATTATACCCATTGTATCTACGTATTGCGTACAATTATTACACCTATTATAGCAAAAAATTACAACTTCGTGATGAAAGGTTGCAACTTTCCAACTCTAGTAAATCTATTACGGCTTGATCTTTGAATACTAGTCTTTGCTAGTATAACGATTTTGCCAATCTACATACAAAATCTGCATTACCGGATTTTACTACAATACCAAGGATTGTTAATAAAGTAACATACTCTGGAAAAACTGGGTTATACTCCAATTTAAAGTTAGAGTGGATTACCTTGTGAGAAATTAGAGATTCTCTGTTAGGGTACAGAAATGCAAAGCCAAAAAAGCCTGTGTTCACACATCTCTAATTCCAAATTATTTTATTGTATATATCGTTTTGAAATTTAAACCACTTAAAGGTAGAGTTTATTTATTGCAAATTAGGAGTTTGTGTATATTTAAAAAAAGGCATTCAGATATCATTCTATGACATCTCATTGATACACCTAATGTACTGGCCCCATAAAAATGAGACAGAGATAATGACGAAAAACAAATATAAAGAGCCTTTTGTAGTGCAATAGTGATCGTTATTTGTGCTGTATTTCAGCTATTATTCGCTTAACCTAATTATATTATAAATCTTTAAGCGATTAATTAAATAAATATTAAATACATATATTTGCTCTTGCTCCTTATTATCTTTTTTAGCAAGACCAACCCCCCCAAATTTATAAATTATGGAAGAAAACAATTTACTATCTTTACCGACCCAGTCATTCGATGAATTATCTTCTAACCAACCCGATAATCTAAGCAGTGAAAATGAAACATCTGAAAGATTAAGTCGTAATAATGGGTCAAAAAAACGAATCTGGGTATGGAAATATTTTGAATCAGAAAAAGTAGTTGAAGAAAAATCTAATCAAGTTATATATAGTACTTGTAATGTATTAAATGATTATAGTATAAAATG